GTCGTATTATACATGAGGTCGTATTATACATGAGGTCGTATTATACACGAATAAATACGGTAACTTGTATCAAATCAAATGAAGGTGTTTCTGTTTCTCTGTTTTTGCAGATGATTCTGTTGCAGTCTTTCAGGAGCTGAAGGAGCTGCTGAGGAAAAACGCCACGGTCGAGTCGTTCGTCGAGTGGCTTGACTCGGTGGTTGAGCACAAAGTCATCAAGGTAACGACTCTCCTCTAACGAGCAGCAGCAACACCTGAAACCAGGCAATGAGTTTCTGAAATTCTATCGCTATGTTTGTTGTAAAGTAGAAATTTTAAAACTATAGCACCTGATTTGTGTGTACTTGTATTTGTGTCTACACGGGTGCAACAATTCACGTATCTGTGTTGAACGGTTCAGTACAGTGCTCTAGGTACAATGCACACTATGTATTGAACAATAATGTTTTTTAACATTTATTTTATCAGCTTGTCTTCTGAAGATGCTCTGTGTTGAAGGATCAGTGGATCTGTGTWCRACTACTCCACCTAGGCTGCATTGTGGAGCTCAGATCCACTGAGAAACTTGCTGTTTCAGAAACATTTAATTTAAAAACTGTACTTTTGAGGTTAAACATATATTCATAATTAATTTCAATAAATTACAATTAAGAAGGGCATGGACATTTCCAGTGGTGGGCACCAGTCTGCTAAACTGCAAATCTGCTAATTGTGGACCTAAATATTTMGTTTGCGCTCTAGCAGTCTTACTAATTTTTATAATTCATAAGCAGATTTGCACTTTCTAAAATTAAAATGCAGTACTGCTAATAACTAATTATCTACTGTACCAGTCATCATTATGTTGAACAGCAGAAGGTATGACTGTCAATGAATCACAACATGTGATCTATCCAACAGCACCCCTCCCAGATAAACACTCTTATTGTGAAGGTATACATCCTGCTGACTGTTGCTTTGGGTCACGGTTCTGATTTCCCACAATGCTTTGTGTCTGCTTACGTAGCAGGAAGACAATGTTTAGAACTCCCTGTCCCAGCTAAAAAGTTTGTAATCCATACTAAAATTTTGTATGTATTGATTTATTTTACTTTACAATCGGAGCTCCTTTTTTTAAAAAAAGTTTAAACACTGGAGCTCAATACTTGACGTAATTGGTCGAAGCAACAGGGTTAGAGACTCAGAAATGATTTAAAGATGTTATGCTGATGAAGACTGACATCTTGTGGTCAACTGGAGCAACTACATGGAAAACTTTAAAATCCAAGCTCTTATTTTGAAGTGAAGATAATTTCCTGTACTCCGTGCTTTCGTTTCCCATCACAAATCAAATCAGTCATGTACCCAGAATGCATCGCTTCAGTTTTCCAATAAACAGTTTTAAAATTACTTTATTGATGCTTCTTTAATGAAAAATCTACAACAAACAAAAGAAAAAGACAAAGAAGCAGCCGAACTAGCAATCCTCAACAACTTTTTAATTTTTACACCAGAATAAAGTATGTTTCAGGAAATCACATCCCCAGCAATCGGTGGTTGTAGGATGAAGTTGTAAAACAGTTCATACACCACTAGTTGGCAGTGT